GGACATCTACCAAAGCAAAAAACAAATGTAAAAAAAAATCTGTTTGGCTAGGGGGAGTGATTGTAATATTGCTTAAAGGTCAACAATACAAATGCCCAATTCCTTTAAATAACAACATTGGGGGATGGCCTGAACCTGCCTCTGAAGGGGTACATCTGTGTGATTTATAGAACCTGCTACATCAAACTGATATTTACAAATGGCAGCTTTTTTTCTGTTAGTTAATGAAGCAGCTGGGGATTCCCTTTATCTAAACCAGACCCTTATCTGATCAAAGTCTGCTATAGATGATTAGGGAGAAACCCACCCAAAAAAATGACATGAGGACACAGCAGAAGAAAGGAAGTCCTGATTCACCTATATAGATCTTTGGTTAGTCCTCATTTAGAATATTGTGTCCAGTTCTGGAGACCTTACTTGCAAAAATATAGTATTACAATAAAACTAGTCCAGAGACCTTAGTGATTACATGATCAAAAATCATGGATCCCAATCTCTTCATAATCTCCATAGCCGAACGAACATTCCTAGTGGATGTAATATAGTGGAAGTGAAAATGTGTATGGCGATCAAGGGGTTAAACCATCTGTACGGTATATATCTGCTGATTAAAGAAGTTGTAAAGTCCCAGCATATTCTCTTAAGTTATAACATCAGCACTGTAATAGGAATACATACTAGAGTTGTTGTTTTATAATATAATCAAACTTACTTGAAAAAATTCCCTTTTACTAGTTAGTGCTACCTTTTGTCTGTCCATCGCTTTCACCAACTTTCTGGATTCCCAGTGTGCTTTGCATCTCTTACCCAACTACTTTATGTAATGCAATCTCGATTTCTCAAAATTACATATCCCCTCATGTATTGCGACGGAACCCGGAAGACGGAAGCCGGCATCGGCCGCAGAACACAGCGCGGCTCGAGGGACAAGGTAAGTAAATGCTATGCAGCTTTCCCGAGTGTAGCTCGGGGTTAGTGCTTATGGTATGGAAAAGTAACCCCGAGCTACACCCGGGAATACCGCCAGGGAGGTTAAGAACTGTACAGTTGCACAAGAGTCTATTTTCCACTAATGTGATAAAACATAGATTATTCCAGTTGGGTCAAGATAGCATAGCAGTAAAGTTGCAGAATGTTGAACAGGATTTATCTATTGCCCTGCCTGGATGGATCCCAGAATATATCTACTTTTAGTCAAGCTTCTAACTCCCTAGGGCACTGAAACCTATGTGTTGGAGTTCTGTCTCTGCCTATGGCAGTTGGCGGAACTACCAGGGTCACAAAGGTCGCAGCAGCGACCGGGCCCAGGAGTTCTGCCACTTAGAGGGGGCCCAGGACAGGAGGACGGGTCCCAGAGGTGGCTCTTTAATTAGGCAAGCTAAGCGGCTGCAGCGCCCTAACTTACCTAATGTACAAGAGAGGTCAGCAGGGATGACGCGCCGAGGTGGTACCGGGAAATGCGCATCTGACTGCGGGTTCAGATCGCTCCCCCCGGCCGCCACTTCACTGAGACATGGCTCCGTCTCCAACCCAGCAGCAAGAGCAGGAGGGGAGAGAGAGAGCCGACACACAGAGCAGAGGGAACTCCCACGCTCCCCCGCCGAGGCTGCACTCCACATTGCCCTGCAGAGAACGGGACGATGGAACTACCGCCGAGCAGGCACTGACAGGGGAGGAAGTGGAGGACGCCGTGGCTGTGAGAAGCCACACTTTGCTCGCTCGCTCTCCCTCCTGGCTGTTTCTCTTTGCTCGTTCGCTCTCCCTCCTGGCTGTCTCTCTTTGCTCGCTCTCCCTCCTGGCTGTCTCTCTTTGCTCGCTCTCTCCTGGCTGTCTCTCTTCGCTCGCTCTCTCTCTCTCCTGGCTGTCGCTCTTCGCTCGCTCGCTCTCTCTCCTGGCTGCCGCTCTTCGCTCGCCTTCCCTCTCTCTCCTGGCTGTCTCTCTTTGCTCTCTTTCCTGGCTGTATATCCTTGCTCTCTCCTGGCTTTCTCTCTTCAGTCTCTGGTGCTCTCTCCTGGCTGTATTTCCTCGCCCTCCCTCCTGGCTGTCTCTCTTTGGTCGCCCTCCCTCCTGGCTGTCTCTCTTTGCTCGCCCTCCCTCCTGGCTGTCTCTCTTTGCTCGCCCTCTCTCCTGGCTGCCTCTGATTGCTCGCCCTCCCTCCTGGCTGTCTCTCTTTGCTCGCTCTCCTTCCTGGCTGTCTCTCTTCGCTCCTGCCTGTATATTCTGCAAAAAAAATAAAATGCTACACACTGCTAGAGCATTGGGGTTTTGCTTTAAGAAAAGGTGGCAACCCTAATCGGCTCACCTCCCGGGTGAAAGGGGACCAGGGCTGGATCTAGCAAAAAGCTGAGGGTGCCGGGAAGGGGGGGGAGTTTTGACCGCTGCAGGCTGTAAAATCCATGCATTGGCCCTGGGCCCCTCCGCTGTACATCCGCCTCGCTCTACCATCACTTATCGCAGTTAAATTAAAAACTTTTCATTATGGGTGTAAGTGGGGCCTCACATTTGAGTTTTGCCTAAGGCCTCACAAACTCTTGAGCCGCCTCTGCCGGGCCCCTAGTAACCGCTGATTACCAGGATATTTAATATCCCGGTAACCCCTAATATCAGTTTGTTTGTTTTTTTGTCTAAATTTTTTTTTTAAACAATGTACCTAATTTTTTTCCTCTGGGGGGGGCCCCTTCATGGATTCTTGCACCGGGGCCCTGAGGTCACTAGTTACGCCACTGGCCTATGGGCTTCTTCTCTCTGCATCTGCTGATAACCAGATAAGCCAGATAAGCCAGATAACCTTTCACAATTTCTTGCCATATTAAAGATCAGTATGAGTCATGTTTTGTTTTGGTGCATTATGATTATGTCCTGATATAGCCTCTGTTGTGCCTGTTCGCCTTGTATACAGTCCATGTACCCATTGCACTCCTGACCGCACGTCCAACAAAGTATCCTGGGTGCTCAGTAGTCGACGGATGGCCACCGTCAAAGTAATGCAGAAAAGAAATAGACACCGGCACTCCAATAATAAATCGATTACGTCTATTTATTGACGTACATCAACACACTAAGTGTGTTATTTTGCTTTTGATGTACGTCAATAAATAGACGTAATCAATTTATTATTGGCGTGCCGGTGTCTATTTCTGTTCGCCTTGTATGTTGCGTGTTTGTTCACCCTGAGATTCCAATCCATCTAAATTGTTGCCTCTGCATTGAGATTCATTTATTTTTCGCTATTATCTGCCTACGCCTGTTTTTCGTGCTTTTGTGTTATGCCATTTGTGTGTTGTTATTAATATTTTTGCTTCACAATAGTATCCCCTTTGATCTGATAGTATTTACTTTGACTTTACAGCAGCTTTGTGCCTCATGTCTTACTGTCTTTTTCTTCTTTTTTTTACTCACCCCACCTTTTTTGCAGTGTGTAAATTAGTATTTTACCATGTCTTGCACACTGCAAGTCTATTACAGGCAGGGCTCATGGTGGTAGGCATTTCCTGATTATGCATATGGAGAGCAAGGAGCAGAGAGCAGGGCTCAGGAGGGCAAGACTTAGAAGGGCAGGGCTCAAGCAAATAGGTGCGAGTGGGCAGGATTAAAACAAGATATGATTAATTAAATGTGTTAAAATCATGCTAATGTCACCTCCGTGATTTCAAAGACTACAGAGGGGTGTCTAATGAAATCATTTAAGGTGGAAA